TAAAGTTTATTTTAGAAAGCCATTCACTTAACAGCTTAATATCTCTCCTCAGTCATTCTATTGTCTGGACAAAAACACATTACCACCTCCCTCTTGATCCTCGTGGATCTTAAAATATCTCTCTGACTAGCTGCTGTGCTGCTGAGTACAAACCCTGTACTGCACTGTAAGACCAGATGGGGACGTAATTAAAGTTGTGATATTTTTGGCGTGCCCTTGGTGTGGAACACTTGTGTCTTTTCGGCCTTGTACTTTACAGGTACAGCTGCGAAGATCTCGACTCTGTGCAAGAAGTGGCGTGTATTTGCTAAAGAAAGCTAAATCTTAGCAAACTTTAACCACCACATCTTAAAAATTAGAACAGTTTTAATAGTGGTGGGCGGGCATAGATATTTAGGTCTCAATCTAATGTTACAGCTGTACATCACAAACACGATGACACACAGGATTAAGAAAAGAGCCTGTCTGAAAGAGATAATAGGAGACCTGCCCCCTAACACAGAGCGCCTTTCATCACTCAGTATTCATGTTATGAATCACCCGGTCTATAAATGAATTCACAATCACACTCCCACCCAAGAGTACCTTCAGCATGTTAATGGAGCCAAAGGAAGTGAGTCGCTGGTTACGATCCTTCAGAAAGGGCTTTAAGAGAAACAGGAAGGATCTGAGCTTTTTCAGACAGAGTTGATGCTCAATTTAGTGGTGAAGCCAGGTCACAGAAAACATTTTCAATCAAAGAAGCGTGTCTTCAGCATGTGAACATGAGTCAGTCCAAACTGAAACAAATATTTACCACTTACAATTTATCATTATAGCTGCTGATCTTAATGGTTGAGGCTCAAAGTTATTCCAGATCTTGAATACAAAAAGTGAAAGATTAATCTCGCCACAAAGTCCATTTAGAGCTAGGGTTCGCTTTAGGGAGCAAGCACATCAGCGAGAGACGCAGAGGAAAAATGCACGCCTCAAACGCTTTCCATTAGTGTTTGTAATGAATCTGTTCAGAGGATGGTGGTTTATGAATGATCATTTTCATGCTGCTTTATGATTGTTTTTTATTTTTTGTTTTTTCTTACCCATTAGTGCATAGTTGTTGTTGTTTTTAACATCGGCTATACTTGTCATTGTTAGGACAGCTTGTAATAATGGCCTTCCTTCTTGTTCTGTGGTGCCGCAGTATTACAGTGTGTGTGTGTGTGTGTGTGTGTGTGTGTGCGCGCCTATCATTAGTGTTATTATTTTCATAATTATCACTATTGCTACTGATTTTGATATCACTTCCATTTTTGGTGCAAACACTAAGTTTAAAAGAATTACTCAATGATAATTCTTCTTTTTTTAAAAGAATTTTTTTTATATGTATGCGTACATTTTAGGTCACTTTGTTAGGTACACCTGTTCAACTGCCCCTGAGCACAAATATTGAATCCTTCAACCACATGCATTTAGCCATGTGGATATGGTCAAGACAACCTGCTGAAGCTCAAACAGAGCATCAAAATTGACTTCAGTGACTTTGAACATGGTTTTGGTTGTTAGTGCCGGTTGGTCCGGGCTGATTATTTCAGAAAATGTTGATCTATGCCCACTTTCTGGCTGCTTCCAGTAGGATAATACGCAACAAAGTTCAAGTCATCTCAAACGCGTTTCTTTAAAATGATGGTGACTTCAAATAAAGCACAGAGCATCTTTAGGATGTGTTGAAACAGGAGATTCACATCATGGATGTGCAGCTGACAAATGTGAAGCGACTGTGTGACGCTGTCATGTTAATATAGACCAAAATCTCTGAGAAATGTTTCCAGCAACTAGTTCAATACGTTCCACAAAGAATTAAGGCATTCCTGATGGCAAAAGGGTGTATCTTATACGTTTATAAAGGGGTGGTGAGTGTATATCTTTTTAAAAGAAGAAAGAATTAAGATGAAAAAAAGGCATCAAACACAATCTGCTTCCTTTTGAACATAACCAAAAGAACAGGACTTCTTTGTTACTATTTTCAGGCAGCAGAGGAGGAAATGAGATGCACGCTTGTAGATACAATCTGACATAAATACGCCCTTATTCCCAACTTTCTGGAATATGTTGCCAGCATCAAACTCAAATGAGCACATATTTAAAGAAACATTTTCGTCATTTAATAGCTTCTCCTGTGGTGTAGGAGTTTACATATTTTCCTGACAAGCAGAAGATCCACAGTTTGATTCTGGAAGGATGCAGTAACACTATTGGGGTTGTGTTAAAAGGAGGATCTGGTGTATATAAAAAAGAAAATCTACCAAGTCAAACATGCGGAGGTATCTGCTGTGGTGACCTCCTTGTGTAAAAGGGAGATGCTGAAAGCAGCTTTTAAATGCAATGATTTTTTTTAGTTATTTCATTGGGTTTTTTTGGCCTCTTTTAAAAACATTGTCGTAGTTTGGACATAAGAGTGGATGCAAACTCCTTAAAATACTCAAAGAACACTGAGTATATTTCAGAGCCTGTACTTTTTCACTTGTGGTTCAGCTTTTACCAGAGAATTTTATAAAACAACAATCTTTTCTTCCACTTAAGTGACAAATGTGTGTACTTTTGCCACCTCTGCTGAATTGCCTTTTGGGATAACAATATTTTGTCTTAAGGAAATTAACTTTAGGTTTAGATTAATTTAGGTGTGTAGTGATGAAATTTATTTCACTAGATTTCCATTATATTTAATTATAAGAATTAAAACGACTGAGGAACAGAGGCGGGATGTTATCTGCACAAATGCGAATCAAGATTCTCGCTGACGTCCGTCTTTACTGAACAGCACATTCGTCCTGCCTGTCTTCCAGACAGAAAATGTCTTAAACTCTCTGGCATTATGATAACACTAAAATTTGAACATTTCAAATTCATTTAAATGTCCAACAATAGCACACCACATTATGAGACATCAAGCAATTTTCCAAAAACAGATGCTTAGTCATCCAGAGAGAGCTCAAGATGAAACACAATCCCTACAGCAGGTGCTGACGTTTCCTTTTTGTTCACTGTGGACCTTCATGTATGATGGCTTTATGTTTTCCAACTGTGCACTATTTATGCCGTGTTTATTCTGAACACAGTTTCTCCTTTCCTCACTGCTGTCTTCACACATTGTGACGGGAGGCTTCCTGTTGCCTCACATCCCGTCCTCCCATCCTCAACTCATCAGGGAGTTCACAGTCAACAGCAGGATAGGTCACCCTGTTCCTCTTTTTTTAACCTCAGTCCCTCCTACAGTGTGTTTCTTGCCTCCACACACATACAATGTCTCTACAGTGGACATATTTAGGGATTACGACGTTGGTCTCGGTGGCGTAGTTTGGTTTAGGCTGGAATTCAATGCCTACAATCACACATGCTTAACTTTTCCTGATGATTTATCATGAGAACCTTTTATGTGTTTTTTTGTTTTCCAACTAAAATAAATGTATACAAATAATTTAGAGGCATTTATATTTCCCATTGCATTATTTCCTATTGCTTAATAGGGTCAATATTATCCCTCTGGCATGTTTATAAGTGTATAACTGAATTAGTAGAACTTACAGTTTGTCTGAGCAGAGCTGAATATGAAGTCTTTGTTTGTGGGGGGTAATTTATGTTACTCGAATTGAGAGTTGGCTGTATTCATTGTTTGGCTGTATTTCAGGAGGGAAAGCAGATCATGTACTAATCGGAAGGTTGGCGGTTCAATTTCTGGCTGCCCTGGTCTGCATGCATGTCCTTGGGCAAGATACTGAAGCCCAAATTGCGCTCCAATTCATCGGAGTGTGAATGTGTGCAATAGAAAGCACTTAGTTAGGAGAAAGTGCTTGTATAAATGGGTGATTAAGCAATTTATGAGAACAAGTCCATTTACTATGAATCTGATTAAACTATGAAGCATTTTCTGAAAATGTGAGCTAAATTCTTGTAGTCAGGTATATTTTACATCAGCGGTCCCCAACCTGATGCTGCACTTCATTTGATCCAGTTGAGCATGTTCCTACAAAAAACAGAACTCGTCTGGTCCTAAGCAAGGTAGAATTACTCATGCATTACTCGCAGTACAGAGCAGTGATTTTTAAGAATTTTCTTTTTGCACTTAAAAACATCACGGCGCCACGTTCATCAACACAGCCTTTGCATATGACTTCTTTAGCCAGACACAAATACACAACAAGTTTTAGAGGTTTACCAATGTTTGCATGGGCAACTTATGCCTGATTCAGACTCCTTTTCAAACCCTACATAACCTGACATGCACCTCTAGAGAAATATAATAAAATGGTAAATGGCCTGTATTTATATAGCGCTTTACTAGTCCCTAAGAACCCCAAAGCGCTTTACATATCCAGTCATCCACACATTCACACACACATTCACACACTGGTGATGGCAAGCTACATTGTAGCCACAGCCACCCTGGGGCGCACTGACAGAGGCGAGGCTGCCGGACACTGGCGCCACCGGGCCCTCTGGCCACCAACGGGTGAAGTGTCTTGCCCAAGGACACAACGACCAAGACTGTCCAAGCCGGGGCTCGAACCGGCAACCTTCCGATTACAAGGCGAACTCCCAACTCTTGAGCCACGATCGCCCCAGGTATGAATCAGGAGTGGGTCATTATGGTCACAACAGCCATTCAGTGAATTCTTGGTGAGACACTGCCACACTCTGACAAATGAGGGCTGCCTGGCTCATAGCTGGTGTCACCACCTCCGTTCAATAACTCAGTAATTCACAATTTTATCCTTACTCCTCTTATTTAATTCTAATCAAGGGAAAGCAGATGTCTAACTGGGCAATCCTCACCAAAACAGTTCTGAAAGATAAATAGCACCACATGCAAGAGGAGTTATATATCATTTATATAATGTTGTTTTGCTGTGAACTGTTAACACATCTAGAATCTGAAACAAGGAGAAAACAATTCTTACAAACTCTGCCCTAATTTGAAGTGGATTAAGACTTTGGTCTTGCTGTACGATTCTGTTGCCTCTCACCTAATGAAATAACAGCAGAAGATGAGGCTCAGGATGAAGACAAAGATGCCTGTCCCGAAGATCACCATGTAGATGTTGAGAGGTAGATCCTGGAAGGTGATGGGCGGCATGGTGCACGACTTGTTGGAGTAAACGAGTCCGAGACCACAGAAGCACCCTAAAACAACAACAAAAGCAAATTTACAGGAAGGATATAGCATGAAACAGCTAAACACTGAAAGCCTGACACTAACACTAACAATAACACCCACACACACACACGAATATACCGCAAAACAAAAACTGAATGCAACCTGTAACCTCATCTCTTTTCTGAGGCTCAGACCTGCATTGTGAACCTCAACCAGAATCCACATCCCGAGCCTTTAAACGCAACAGGCAGGTGGGTTAGACTGCCACTGTGCACATGTGATGGTTTTAATGTACTTTCATATATATATGTAACAAATGTTTTGTCTGTTAACAAGCAGTTTTCAGACTCTGAGACTCACACACCAAGAATCAGTGAATCTGTAACCTTTCCTGTTCTTGACAATAGTGTCCATATAATCTGCTGATACTTGTGCAAATATAGCACAAATGCAGCACTGAACATTTTTTGAAGAATACTGCAGCATGAACCAATCAGAAGAGATGGTAACCTATGCAACGTGCCATGCTTTATTTATCCTTCCTACTTTGATGCTGCACCCCGCACACAGTTTTCAGTATTTGATCAGGGGTGTTTATTATTTTTATACCAAAGCCACTGTAGTCTCCTTGGTTGAAATGTTTGAAATAGCTGTAAGTAACTGGTTAATTTAACTGTTTATTTGCTCATCTGCATCTACCCTAAAGGATTAAACAGTTGGTTAATCGCCAACAGCACCACCCAGCGTAATTGCATATCATATAATTCAAAATCCCCAAACAAATGAGGACTCATTAGCAATTGTGAAGCCTGGTAGTGTGACTCCAGGGCATAGCTGCAGAGGAAGATGTGGTGAAATCTCCACAAATGGAGCGCTATGTAACCAGATCTCTGCTTGACAAGCTGTTTTCAATAATAACATGCAACGGAGCACATAGCTGTGTTCTGTAAAAAAGAAAAAAAAAGACAGAAAATTCTGAGCTGACTCTTAAAGCAGCAGGAAACAGTGACTTATGCTCAAAAACAGGACATTAAGTTCAAAATGAGCAATTTGTGTAAATAAACTACCGATAAGCGACTGATAATACCCCCCAGTATTTGAATTAGGTGCTATCCAGTTTTGCTATCCCAATAACTAAATCAGTCTAAAGTCTGACCTTTATATACATTAATAAAATAATAAACAGGAAATAACCTTAAATCCACACAAGCATGAACTGACAAGCTGTTTTTAAGTTAGATAAACAGAGACGCAGAGAGCACACTATGTGTTTTGTGCATCTGAGTGAGTAATGAGAAGTCAGCATGTGAGAAGGAGCTTTGTGAGATCAGGGTCATGCTAACCCAGGGAGTGATAGTGAAGTGGAGCTCACGCAGTACTCGTCGCACTCAGGCTTCTCATGTCCAGATTAGAGCAGCAACAAGGCAGAAAGCTGAGAGAGTCTGCAGGTTTTCATTTTCATCAGACACCAAGCAGCTGATTTCACTGATTAGCATATTCACCCAGAGACAAGGCGCTAATCAGTGAACTTAGCCCGTGTGCTCTTTCACAGAGACACTTTTGGCCTTCCAGGGCACACGCATGGAAACAAATTTAATGTAAAAACAAACTGCAACAAACTTAGCCTGAAACAAATTTAACACCCACTCCGTCTGCTCTGCTCTGTCTGTGGGTGTTCGTGTGTTATTTGTCTGTGCTTACTAATCCTGTGCAGGACTGACAAGCCCTCCATCATCATAGGAAAGACCGATTTTCAGCACCATATTTTAATTTAATTTTAACTTCTAGACTCTATGAGAGGAGCTATGTATGCCTCAGAGGACCAAATGATTGATATTTACCTTTAAGAGGCTTCTTAAGTGGTGTTGTGACCCAACTGCAGGTCCCAAGGGAAATGTGTACTCCCAGACTGGTTGGTGAGTGGTTGCAGCAAGCGTTTGCAGACAAGTTGATACAAACCAAGAGAAACTGCAGATATCTGCAAGTGACAAAAGCTGTCACAAGGACATTTTCGACAGCCAATTAGGTACTACATGTTTTTCCATAACTGGGGCTTTTTTAACTTGACCAAACTGTGTCATGTGGTTAGCAGTGTGACTGTAAAATTTCAGTACTGGTCCTTGGTACAGCCCCTTCCACCTTCCTATTATTTTCTGCCTGTAACAAACAAAATATTTAATCCATAGAAGAGCTGGGCTTCTGTACCAACAGATGATATTAGCTCTCATTTACATCACATAGAGCCAGGATTTAAATAAATAAATAAATAAAAAACACCCAAAAACTGAGCATTAGAGCACCTGAAACCTGAGATTTTGGCTCACAAGGAGCACAACCTTTGAGAGGCTGAGCATTTTTAATTTAAGCATCCACCATTATAAAAATATGTTTATTTAACAGAAATTCAAGAAAAGCCGAATGGGTCAACTTACTGAAGAGATGGATGAACAGAATAGATGAAGATCTTTACCAGTTTCATTTTCGTGGGTATTATTTTCTTCCAGCACCACTTTTTAATCAATGAGGATATTTCCAGTTACTCCCGCAGCCAAAGTAATAGACTGACATTTCTATCTGACGCCTCTCCCGCCTCACAGTGGAAACAGCAGTATCAGGGGATCAATACTATCCGCCTCTTGGTTCCACTCGTGCTGAACAAGCAGAGCGTGTCTATTAATCAAGGATCGTTGATGGCTGCAAAATCAAGTTCCACCACTTCACTCAGCCAGAAGCAATCAATGGTAGATACACTAAGGTTTGAGCCAGATTTTTAACCAAAAAGCCACAAATGCCTGAAAAGAGTCTAAACGGGACAAAACCAGCCAGCCTTATGATTATTCATGTGACTGACTGGCGAGAACTTGCATCAGGGTTGTAAACTGTAGCACAGCTGACAGAATTTGACAAAGATTTTGAGAGATTTAAAAATGTAAGAGGTGAAATAAAATCCACAATATTTTTAATAATGCTCCTTCCTTTTCAAAAAATATCTTTCACATACAACACTTTTTTCATCAAATGTGCCCATGCAACACATGTGCAATTAACTAATAAGGGCCTATTAAGCTCTATTTGAAACCATTGTACTAAATACCCAACAATAAGTATCCCTCTCATCGTGTAATGAAATGTGCTATACAGCTACTGTCATTGTCATCCCCAGCTACCAGTTATTAAAGGTAGGCCTTCACTACAGAGCTTGATTTTTGTGAGGTCTGTGCGATCACAGCTAACATCATTCTACGAGAAACAACTGACATAAAAGGTCAAAGTTACTTTGGTTTAGCAACAGCTGATAGAACAGCAGGTTTGTCCAATCACCTACCAAATATTTTTCCCATATTCTTGCCGGTGATAGCCTTTTATGTGCTATGTCTCCTTACAAAGACACGCAAAGTAATTATACTGATTGCTCACTGGCTTTCACACTTTGTCACAATTTAGTTTGCTTGTCTTTTTCACACTCTCTACTTCCTGTATGACTAGAAAAGGGGTAGAGATGGTGATAGACAGCTCCACTAGTCCTCTGACAAGTATTTATGACAAGTGACTACTTGCAAATGCTTTTGTGCACAAATTGTCCTCTTTGGTCATCTATACAATTCATAATTATAAACAGATTAAAAAAGGGGTGTAACTTTCGGGTCTGAAAAGTGAAACCAACACTGAAGTGTCTTTCTTATGGTAACCAGGGTTTCACAAAGAAAAACAGGGCTCTGACTGGACTAAACACTTTCCTCTTGAGTTTAAGGCCTCGGTCACTCATTTCAGATCATGTTGAATAAATCATTAAGTCCTTTTTTTTTGTACATTTTGGTTGTTCTACAAGTCAGTGTGTTCCCTTTTCCATCATATTGTTGCCCAGAATAAAACACACTGGAGAAATCCAAATATTCAAACAGTCCTGCTGAAAGCATGCATTACTAATATTTTCTGTTCCACAATTTCAACTCACTATTGTCACACCTCTATTTAGATCTGACACAGAGAAATTTCTACTACATAAAATGTCAGATAACTATGTTTCTCACATTTTGAAATGAAGACACACCCTTTATTTTTAATTGCAGATGTTTACTCTCTCATAATTAAGTTTTATTTTTTTTACACTGCAATTAGGTGGATGGATCAGACTGATGCTGCATTCCCTGAATATAACCGAAGACACAGAAAGATGCAAGGCGATCGAATTTACTTCATCCTCTTTACACATGTCAAACAATCTGCCTCACAAAGATCATCAGCATACAAAGAGACACACACAGTGAGAGAGAATGGTGTAAATGTCAGCTCCTGTATTCATGTCACTGCCCTGCTGATGACACAAATCACCTGAGCAGACTCACAATCCAAATCTAGGGCATTTGCATTCAAACCTTTGTGCGTGCGCACCATGTCACATCCCGTCGCATTTCCCTCCTCCACCTTTGTATGCGGGGAGAGCAGCTATATTAAGTGATTTTTTGATTTGGTTGAAGTCTTGCATGACCAGTGACCTATATATCAACAATCTTATGAGGCGTGCCGTTGCCATGGAGTAGTAGATGCAGAAAGCGGCTGAAGGTTAGCTAATGAAAGTTCTCATTTCAGGACAAAGAGAATCCGAGAGATTCTCGAGTTATTCTTCAAAAGGCAGGAAATTCCCTCTGAGATTTGATCGAGCTGTAAAATACCTCGACTATTGCAGTTTCCCTGACAGCTCCTATGAGATGCCTGCTGGGGTTTTGTCCTATATATGTTGTGTTCAAACAAAACTGCTTTCTGCTGCTGTTGCTGCTGCTGCCTTTGCTAAAGACTGAGCTTCCCATCAAATATTCAGCAGTTCACATAGGGGGGAATCACTCAGGCCTGCCTGCATGGCTGCTGCTGTTTTCAAGACGAAAGTAGGTTGGGGCACAAATCTCCCCATCACATGCATGAAAGCACGACATGTGTCACATATAAACAGTAGAATGAATAGGCACGATCACAGAAACACTGACACACACACAGAGTTGTGGCTGCCTGTTACTGCTTCATTTTTCCAGCAGAATGTTACTCTTTGATACTGTGTGTGTGTGTGTGTGTGTGTGTGTGTGTGTGTGTGTGTGTGTGTGTGTGTGTGTGTGTGTGTGTATTATTTCCAATATGAATGGCAGGCGAGTTGCTGCACAAAGGGAGTAATTGTTCTTGTCTGAACACCAACAGTCCACTGAGGAGGCTGCTGTAGTTGTGCATTCAAACAGGCAAAGTCAGAGGAAAAAGACCCCAATCCATCATCTTCACCCAGTCTCACCATGACAAAGAAACACTGAAAGACAATTTCACTGGAATGAAGGGTTTTATTTTTGTTTAAGTGTGACTGCTTTTGTTCACACTTTTGGCCTGTTGGAAGATAATCAGCTGAAGCTGTGAAGAGTGTAAGTGAGAGACTGTAGATAGGGTCAGAGCAAACAAGATTACCTAGAGAGGCAAAACATTATACAAAGAGCACAATGACCGGTCTTGGGTAACTCTCTGGAGTGAGTTTAGGCCAAAATAAAGGTTTTTATTGATCAGGTAGACTCTTAACCTACAAATCAATACAAAAACTGACCAAATTTCTGATTGCCTAATCGCCCTTTTTGGTGGATAGTGTATTAATTTAGGTAGATTACAACGTTTATAACATGTTGTAATCTATAGGGCTGCAGTTTATAACTTTCTTTATTGGTCATTTTCTTTGATTGTTGCGTCTATAAAATATCAGACAGTCGTGGCAAAAGCCTTACAGCCAAAAAATAATGCATCCAAGCTTCAAATTAATAATTCTAATCTTCACGTTTGAGAAGCTAGAACTGGGTGATGTGCACATTGCAGCTTCAAAAAAAGATTTTTTATTAATACTGCAGCTCTAACAGTCCTTCTCTATTTTTCTAGTATTCACTCAGCACTTCTAACTTTTGCTGTTAATACTTTTCTTTTCCGTGGACTTTGACTTATTGGACAGGACGAAGTATAGAGCTGCTTGTGGACAAGAAATCACTTATCACTAATACCACTACTATGAAGCTGTCTGCTTACATTAGTCTATTTAACGAAACTAGATTTCGTGCGTTTAACATTTAGTCCGTTTATAGGGTGTTTATATGTCATCGCTGTGGCATTATTAGAGACACTTTTAAGAACAAATGAAGCGACGAGCACACAGCTTAGGACAACTCATTTTGTGTCTCTTTGTTAAGATCCTGCACATTGTTGTTGCACTCGCTGGGGACGTCTAAATTTAGAAAGCACTGGCCTGAGTCAGTCTTGTTCTAAAATCTCTGTTTTAATCCTACTAAAATAATAGGACGTATTGTTCATTATTGTCACAGACTAGCAAAACAAAACAAAAAACAACAACAAAAATGACTCCTCACCGTTACACCACTGAAACGGGTGCATCAATGCACCAGATGGAGTCCTTGCCGTCGGGATCCGATTCGTGTTTACCAACAAACCGCAGGCCTCCTCGCAGATGGATGACCGCAATGAAGCGCACAAGTAGAGCCGGTGACTGCCCGCCAGCTGTGTCAAAGGTGAGCGAGACAATAGCAGCCCTGAAGAGGTCGTGAAAGACGAATAAAAAGGTGGATAAAGGGCGTTTAATCTTTTTGTATCGGAAGTTGCAGCTGGGTTATGTCACATTGTCCACGTTGGCTCGTCTCAAAAAGCAGAAATGCTGATGTGAGTGTTTCCCCAGCTTCTCCTCGCTGTCGCTGTTTTGACTCTGTTATTATTAAAAGACGGCATGACACTGACCCAGCGGCAGCATCTGTGTGAGAAGAGAAACTAGAGCACAGGCTCGATTACCCTGCTCCCGCCCCCTCTCCGGCAGACTGACGTCCGGGGAGACCAATGGCGAGGCCGGTTGATCCGCGCTGTGATGTGACGGGCTGGTGTGTTTCCTGTAGCTCATTAACGTCTGCAGCTTACTGATGCATGTATGTTTTACAGCAAGGGGTCTGGTTCACTGTAGCTCATGAGCCAATCACCAGTGTGGCATAATAACCTGTATATTAAAGCACACACACACTCACACACCTCTAAATGTCACGTCTTAATAGATTCACAGTGCCCCCCAAAGGTACTGGAACAGCAAGGCTAATTAATTTGTTTTTCTGTGTGCTGAAGATGTTTGAGAGCCTTTGTTTCCAGTTTTTTGCATTACACACATCATAAATGTGTTACCCCCTATGCTGAAGAGCAAAGTAGGTAACACATTTATGATTCCCATGTTGGTCATAAGAAATTGATCGCTTAATTATTAAGTAGAACTGGAAGATATTTTTCACTTGGCCTTAAAATAAAAATTAAAAAAAACGCCACACACATTAAAAAATTGTTTATTAAATGACAACCAAGTACAAAAGACGTGGACCTAGTTCTCCTAAAATCTATCCTGATGTTCTACTTCAAACACAGTCACACTTCACTATGATAAACGAGCACATTAATGTGTTATTTTTGCCATTAAAGTAATAGTTCTGGGTCGGTAATGCCATAACTGCCAGCAAAAATACTTCCTTAGTGAAATACAAATATACTCTGAATCAGCACAAAGGTTTAAACAGCACTTTTGATTATCTGGGATTAAAACCAGCAGACTTTACGAGCGTACTACAGACACTAGAGCATATAAACATTTACATGTGCAGAGATCCATTCAGCTGCAGGAGTAGCTCAGAAGAAGTAGGCCTGCTCATATGCTGTGATGTTTGCGACATAGACAGGTGAGTAGCTGTAAATCAGTGAGGATTCCTCTTCTGCAGGACTGTCAAAGTGATGGAAACTTCTCCTTGCTAAACAAAGCAGAGCAGACATACTAAAACTAAGTATACGTTTACTTCTTTAATAGCAATTAATCAAACTCACTTGATAAAATAATCGACAGCAAGTAACGATTTTATAGACCCCTTCTATACAAGCAGAAATTTTGACAGTTTGCAAGTTTGGAGCGTTTAGGTGTGTGCCATAGTTTTCCCAGAAGAGGACATCCCAGCAAATTCACTTCAAGTGCAATACTCAGAAATTTAAAGAAACAAAACAAACAAGAGATCTTGTACTCGGGCCTTAGTAACCATGTTAAAATGCTACAATGCCAGTATACTGATGGATACAAATATAGCTTGTTTGGAAGGGCTGCCAAGACAAAGCGACATTTTTCCTAAAAAGAACACGGCAGCACAGTTTAGGTTTGCAAAGATGCATCTGAACAAACTGCAAGATTTCTGGAACAAAGTGCTCTTTTTCCAGCCACAGGACCTACATGCCTTGCAGTCACCAAGTTAACCATGAACTCCAAATACTAGTGATGCTCCATCACTGCATCTCACTGGGTGTTAGCTCGCTCTGCGGTAAGTAGTATCACTTCCCGTTCTTGTTACAGCGCACAGTGGGGCCTGTGTAGCCTTTCTACTTAGCCAATTTAATCGAAAGCGTCTAAATTCATAGTGTACTCTTCACGTGCTTTATCCAAAATTGTTGGGACAACGATCCCAAGCATAGCAGCAAACCTGCAACAGAATGGCTAAAAACAAGAAAAAAGGAAAGAATCAAGGTGTAGCAATGGCCCAAATTCCAGACCTCAACCTTAGTGAAATCCTGTCACGGGAACCTAAAGGAGCCGTGCATAAACAATTGTCTGCAATCTTTAATGAACTGAAGCACTGCTGTAAAGAACAGAAGGCCCAAATTCCTCCACAGTGACGTGACAGACCGATAAAGTCACACAAAAGGATTACTTAAGCTATTGCCACTAAAAGTGGTTCTGCAAGCTACTAGTTTACACAGCACTGCATGGAGTCCTGTGAAGTTGTTGTTTTTTCACATCTGCAAGTGAAACTGATCAAAACAGGGCGATAAATATACCCACAGTTCTGAAAGCAGTTCATGAGAAGATAAGCACCCTGTTTTATATAAGGTTTGCATCAGTGATGCTGATTAGTTAAGTTGGTTTCACCAGGAAATAGCGGTCACCACAAAGAAAGCAAAAAATAAAAATAAAAATAAAAGATTTAAAAAAAACAAACAAACCACACAACAACAACACACACAGGAAACTGACAGCTATTGGCCACATTAGACAGTCTTCATTGTCTTCAGCACTCAGTTTCACTTCACTACAAAGAAGTTTTTTTATTACCACTTATTTTTTTCTGTGTGTTTTTGGTTATGCCAGTGAAATTACTATGGCATCAATAATTTCATAAATTATTATTTTCAGCATTAGGCACAGGGCTCTCTAGAGCACAGCAAGCTTTCTTGCTACGGTCAGTTTCTGATTGTTTGGTCAGAGACATTCATACTAGTGGCCTACTGGAAGAGATTTTGTAGGACTCCAGCTCATCCTGTTCCTCGTTTCAAAAAGGAGCAGATACCAGTCCTGGTGATGTGTTAGGACCTTCTATAGCTCCTTCCAACTCCTTTTGGTCATTGTACAAGCTGCTGTGTTATCCTGGAGGTGTTGGACTACCTGTGAAACCTATGTAGGGTCCATGTATCACCTTATGCTACCAGTAGTGACATTGACCCTAGCTGAATGCAAAACTAGCTAAATGCATCTGTTGATTTCATGTAACACCAATGCAACTGAAAACTGATTAACAACTCCCTCTGCTTCTTATTCGACTAGATTAATATCCCAGTTTAATTGGGTTGATACTATACTCTGATTAAAAAGTGTTCCTTTAATTTTGTTGAGCAGTGTATGTTTTTTGATAATGCATGCTTGTCATGTTACCTTCATTGACAAAAAATTCAGCTAGCAGCGACGATAACTGCACAGCGTGACGGGAGTGAGGGAAGTTCAGCTTTCTGTACCACTGAAAACGATTCACCTCCGGGTGCCACTGAACTCCGTAGAAAGGATATCTTTTACCTGCCATGACAAAACAATATATCTCTTGGTACAGTGCTGTTTCATGGAAATCCTTCAGCTTCCCAAATAAAAAAATAAACCTTGTAACCTTCGAAAGTTGACACAAAGTGAGCTCCGTTCTTAGCTATGTTTGTTGACAAGATGGTGAAGAAACTCTGTAGCATCTCATTTTCCTGGAAGTCCTGTGAGAACATTCGTCATATTAGCAGTTATCATTTAAGTGTCTCTATTTGTTATTATTTTAACTCTCCTTCTTGTATGCAATACTCAGAACTGTTTGGATTTATTAGAAGAATTCGCTTTTGGGCTTCATTTCTACTAATGCTTTGTTTAATGTCCGCTCAAATGACGACAACTCTTTTCATGGCAGACAAATTCATTCTGAATGCAGATTAAAAGATATATCTGTAAAGTATATCTGTTACACCCCTGCTGAAACGAACGCTCCTAACTGTGATCATTGGCTGGGATTTTATTTCTCCAAACAATAACTATTCAAAACCTAACAGAGGAAGTAAAACTTTCTGTTTGGCGACACTGGTCAGAAGAAGGCTCATGCTGTACCTTTATTGTAATTCCATAGTTGTGAAAATTGCCAGTCAGAGGTTCCTGGGTCAAAGCATTGATGAGCTCATCTGGGAAAGTATTGAACATCCGGCTGGACTGCACTTCTGCAGGCAACACAAAAGGGTATTTGATTAAGTCCACTTATAAAATTGAACACATTTAACACAAAAGAAGAAAAAACATCTGAATAGATATATCAGTTTAGGATAAGACAATCTAGGCAATTTAACTGTTCAGATGTCTTCAGAAGTCATCATAGCTGATATATCTAACCTCACACTCTGAAAAAAAAGGCAAAAATAGACTTTTGGGGGGAATAAATTTGAATTTTTTTTGATGCATCTCAGTTTGATTATTTTATTTGTTCTCTAACTGACAAAGCTTTTGAGAACAATTTAATAATTTAACAATTTAATGCTTCAAGAGATCCATCATCATCATCCCTGTGTCCAAGAACAACAAGCCCTCATGCCTAAATAACTACTGGCCAGTTGCACTGATTCCTCCTCCATCCCAAACACCACAGATCCACTCCAGTTCACCTAATGACTCATCAGATCCACGGAGGACGCCATCGCCCATGTTCTGCACACCATCCTTAGCCACGTGGACAAAAAACAGGGTAACTATGTGAGACTGCTGTTTGCTGATTACAGTTCAGCATTTAACACAATAGTGCCCAGCAGACTGTTCACAAAGCTGAGGGATCTATCTAGGACACAACAGCCATCTGTGTGCATGGGTGTTGGACTTCCTCACTGGCAGAACTCAGGTGGTGAGGGCGTCTCCGACAGCAGCACCATCAACACAGGAGCGCCACAGGGCTGTGTCCTCTCGCCACTGCTCTACTCCCTCTACACTTCAGACTGTGTGGCCACTCTTGGCTCCAATACAATTATGAAGTTTGCTGACGACACAGTGGTGTTGGGTGCCATCTCCAATAACGATGAGGCGGCCTACATGGATGAAGTGAAGAATCTGGCATCGTGGTGCCGGGACAACCAAGTGGAGCTGAACGTCTGCAAGACCAAGGAGCTGGTGGTGGACTTCGGAAGGAGTAAGCACAGAGACTACAAGCCCATTACCATCAACGGCGCTCCAGTGGAGACGATATAGTCCTTCAAGTACCTCAGTGTCCACATCTCCTCAGATCTGACATGATCTGCCCACATTCAGGTCCAGTCCTAAAAGGCTAGGCAGCGCCTGCACCACCTACGACAACTGAGGAAGTTCAGGGTCTCTCCAGGGATCCTCAGGACTTTCTATGCAGGTGCTGTGGAGAGCATCTTCACACAGAACATCACATACTGGTATGGGAACAGCTGTGTCAAAGACAAAAAAGCTCTTCAGAGAGCGTACAGCAGAACGCTGCTGCAGGACTGCTCTCCCCTCCCTTCAGGACATCTATATCAGGAGATGCTGCTCTAGAGCAGCTCAGATACTGA